AGCAAGAAGAAAGGACTAATCATCAATTGAAAAAGAAAGAATGTATCGTTGCCAGCAAAAGAAACAGCTCAGCATGCGAATTACAAATTGGAGATGCTAAAATCCAACAAGTACAAAAAACAGAGGACTGAAAGTGCGAAATTGAAATCTGAAGGCCTTCCAAAAGCTAAGCAAAGTATTAAGAAACAGGAAAATTTTGTTAGAAACAAAGAAAATAGTTTTCCTTTATTTAATATGTCTTGTCCCTTCTGGACGTATGCGATCAAGGTCCTCCACATCTTTGTTCTTTGTAGCCCTTAATAAGTTTTGTCATTTTATTACTTCTCTAAAACCCTGTTCTGCCATCCATTTGCTCAAGCCCTTCAAGTATATTACACGCTGCTTATTCTTTCCTTCAACCAGTCTCGTGAACATCATATTTTCCAAGTCTTCTTTCCTCATTACGTGTCCCAGCATTTTCAACTGCCTCTTCCTGATTTAAGAAAAGAGTTCTGAACTATTTTTTAATACCAGTCCTCCTATATGGTAGTGAATGATGAACAATCCGTCCAGGCAGTACATCTCCTTTGAAAGATGGCCCGGTTTACTGACAAGTGCCTGTGGCGTCCCCCAAAAGGGGAAGTGCTAAGTGTGCTAGGGTTGTTTTTTCTACAGTATTGCCAGTAGTCCTACTTTAAACTTCGACCATGAGTCACGTTTGGTAGCGACATGGGGGAACTGAAAAATCCCTTCATTGCATGTTAATGACACAGGCTTCTACTGATGTAAGGTGCATGCACACAGACAAAATATAGCCTTTTACAAATTTCTAACGATGAAACTTTGCCGGTTTTGTATTGGGTGAATATATATAAAATCTAGAATTTACCCAGTTATATATATTGTGGCATTAGTTGTTCTGCTAAGAGAGGAAAATATGAAATAATAAGAATGATTGGATTTTAATTCTGTGTGCATTTAAAGCTGCTATAGATAGGCAAGGATTTGGTTATTGTTATAATTGTCTGCATTGTTTAGTGAGATTCCAACACACCATAGATTAACTTCAGCTATTTTTTTGCAAGACCAAAATAAATATACCCAATTGGAAGAGGAATGTATGATGATTAAGCATTGCATTGTGAGTCAAAATTTGTTTAAACAAGTTTTAGCATTTAAGTTGAATGTCGGGCTTTGGAAGTCATGAAAATTCGATTTTTTTAGAACAAAAGAATTACTAAAGAAATGAAATATTAATTAAAAGAATTACTAAAGAATTAATAAAAGAATACGACTCGTCTATATAAGATTGCCAATGATTTTAATATAGAAATACATTAGCAATCTAGGAGAAAGGGATTATCAGTGGTCAGGAATTGATGCAAGTAGAATAGGAATATTATATGTATAATGTAAATGCATTGCTAATGATTTTTATATAGAAAATACAACTCTCCAAGTTGTGAGTTCAATCCCTGGCCACAACAGAGGTGAACAAAAACTTGGAGAGTTGAGTTACCAAAGGGAAATAACCGAAATTGAGATATAGAGAAATGGCATGGCACGTGGAACTAGAACAATCTACCCTGGTGGTTGAAATAAAGGGTTCGGTTATAAATTCCAACTTATATCACGTGAAAGAGGCCGAGGCATAGAACGGCCGAAACGTCGTGAATATAGCAATAAAGATGAGGACAACAAACCAAATAGTGTAAATAGGTGTTAATTAATTTTATTAAAAAAACATGCTTCATTTCGATTTCATGATGCAAATTTTCATTTTATATAAAGTTAGTTTTAAACCTAATATTTCCCAGTTGATACATAAAGGTTTTATTTATTTAGATGGGTTATTTTACCGGTACACCAACCCCAAGAGTCTTTTCGCGCTGAATTGGGTAGTTTTAATATTCGTTTTTATTTTGTGTCTATTTTGCAGACAGATTCTTTTATAAGGCGTTAATATATAAGAGTATGGATGTTATTCAGTTTTAGTTGCATTTTGTAATCGAGTGTTTATTTGCTTTCTTTTTTATATTTTGGCGTAGAGTTTTGTTAATTTAAGAATTCTAGAATGTCTTTGGATTCGGCACTCTCAAAGAGGGCTCTAAGGTTGGGGCATTGTAGAAGTATTTTCGTACAGATATCAGTTTTTGCAGTTAATTAAAACTACTGTTTGGCAGTATGGAGGGTCTCCATTTTTGCGGAGGAAGGAGTGGATTTTGTGGGTGTGTCCGATTTTGATTCTTATAAGTGTGACATCGTCTTTTCTTGAGTGTCTGGTACTGTGATGCTGTGCAGTCTGAATGGGTTTTATCACGTAAAAGAACGAATTCATCATCTTTGCCCAAAAAAGACGGATCTTATTTTTTCATTTTTATAGTTAACAAACACAAAAATAACAAAGATGAAGATAATCATCGCCAAACCCCAGCACCGCCATTGTCCCGTTCCAAATGCTGAGCCATCTCTTTACATATCTTATATTTCATATCTGTGTTCGCAGATTGGTGTGTGCTGAATTTCCTCTAAACTTACATACCATGAGAATTTCAGATTCCCCATCTGGTGGAGATCCCCTTTTCCCCTTGAGTCAATTTCCTTTGAAGTTTGTAAGCCAAACGACTATGTATGCCTTGATGTTATGTTGATCCTGCATGCAAACAGCATAGGACTCTATGAACACACACACACACACACACACATAAGTATATATATATATATATATATATATATATATATATATATATATATATATATAATATGCAAGTTTTATTAAAAACGACTGAGAAGGTACTGCGATTAAACTTTTTATTCAATACTTCTTGTGTTCACAGAAGTGATTTCTTTGCGGGACATAAAGTGCGTAAAAACTGCCCGAATGTTCTGGGTGTCCGAGCGCTTTCAGTCAGCACAAGAATAGCACAACCCTTTCTAAACATATCTGGGAGACAAAAAAACAAAAGCCAAATCACACCAAAAATATCATGGAAAATAAGGAAAACAGCATCAGCCTGAAACCATCAATCCCAAAACTGTAAACTCTCGAGGAGAAAATAGCTATAATTACCTTCACAGAGCAACACAAACTAGTAAATAAACGATCAGAACTCATGCAGACACGAAAACAAGTTCTTACTACGAACTAAAAACGAACAAGAATAAACAAAAATAAATACCGTAAAAAATAAAATAAATAAACAAAAATAACTAAATTTAATTCAAACCAATAAATAAATAAATAAATTAAGTAAATAATGAACAAATTAACAAAATACGGACGCACACATAAACACAAGTAACGTAATAATAACAGCCAGTGATAAAATAATCAATAATAAATAAAAAAAGTTAACAGACAACACTATAAAATCCCCAAGGAACCGTTGACATTACAAGGAGAAGCGTTGACGGTGCAGATTCCTGTGAGCTCATAGGTATACATTTGCTAAAATAATCCATAAAAATGATACAGAATTCTACAGGGACGACTGTCTCATAATCTTAAGAAACTGAAAACAAAACACAGACAAAACCATAAAAAACAATCATATATAAATGTATACATTTTTTTAAAAGTAAAATTTGAATTCTCTGTATCTCTAAAAGATATCATTCCCCAGGGAAAAGATTTTAGATTCCCAACTTTTCATTACTGTGGTTGTTTTTTAATTTATATAACTTCGAAATAAACTTGGGAATAAACAAAAGTAATGACGAAATCCAACGAAAGTCACCCATGAAATAAAAATAATTGTTTGTAAGGAAAGTAAGAACCTATTTACATAAAATTGTCTTTAAATTAAGTGGTGACAGAGGAATTATCGTTAGATTTTTTAAAGGTAAGGCAGCGATCAATTTTGAATTATGTTGTTTAGTTGTCTATCGCTTCTACTCCCCCTACCTAATGGGATGAAGGCCCAATCAAGAGTCCTATATATACTGACACATATTTATCATTTACTGTATACACTTATATGTATCTATTTGGCCTTGTGCCACATGACACCCTCGTGGGGGGGTGACTCAATATCTACACACACACACACACACACATATATATATATATATATATATACAATATTTAAAGTAAAAAAATCTAGATTTACCCCCCCACCCAAGGGTTATTATTTGTAAAAGTACCATATATATATATATATATATATATATATATATAATGTGTGTGTTTAAAATAAATAAAAATATTTTTTTTGAAACATAATTTCTCTCTCTCTCTCTCTAAAAATTATTATTTGAGAAGTAAAATAAAAAGTACATATTTTCATATGTGAGGGTGTGCTGAAAAGTTCCCATCCTGAGCAAGAGGGATACCCACCCCCAATTCTGACGTTTGGTGATTTGGCCGGTTTCAACTTTTTTTTTTTTTTTTTTACATGGGAGGAAGTGTGTCAGGCCGAGAACATTTCAACACCCCCTCCTCTTGTAGATATACCATTATTTAAAATTTCCCCAAGAAAAGCGACGAAGAATTTGAAATACATTCAGTAGATGCTGGGCTTCTGAGATTGTGACAATATTTGCATGTTGTCTTTTTAATTGCATTGTCAAAAGGAGAGAAGTCGTCTGTGAATTGTGCCATCACCGAAACATTGTCTTTTGTTGTCACAATGGTGTTTAATATCAGAGATTCTGTTCCCTAAAATAAGACGAAAAAGAAAAAAAGACGAATAAAAAAAGGAAAATAAATAAATAATAATAATCCCATCCCATAATCTCAGAGAGAAAAAAAAATTCTTTTTCTTTGTTTTAGCTTTTGTTAGATTTTACTAGATTTTTCAATCTGTATTACATTTTTGGGAATTTTATTGGTGGCTAAAGGGGATGGATGACAAGAAATAGTCAATCCCAAGAAAGATGGAGGCAGACAGACAATCAGTCAACTCCTTGTCTTTTTTTCCACCCTCAATTCACTTCCGCGCCAAACCATTTCTGTTCCTTAATTTATTCTTATTTTTGGTCTTTTTACAGTTGAATGTGGCAGTAGTTGCCTCTGTTGACACATGGTCTGTTGGATATTGATGACACAAGTGACCTCCTCCTGTTTGTCAGTGCTTACCCGAGGGGCCTTGTTATCCCCAGAGTTATTGCTTTCTATCTCTGACCTTCTTTTGTTTGTTGCCATGATTTTTATTATGAATCGTTTTTCCCTTTCATTCTTTTTCTCCCTCACGTTTTTATTTATTTTCTGTTCACTTTCTTTAAGACTTCTTTCTTTCTTTCTTTCTTTCTTTCTTTTTTCTTTTCTTTTCCACTATTTTTCTTTATTATTATCACCTTCTCTTTTATTTTCCGCCACTCTCGTTCACTCTCTCTTTACATTCCTCCGCCTTTTGCTTTTTTCCTCCACGTCTTCTTACATTTTTTTTTTGCCACATCTTGCTCCTACATTGCTCCAATTCTTTCATTTTCATCCGTTTGTTTATTTTATTTTCAATGTCTTTCTTCCTCCACATCTTTGTTTTACTTGAATTTGTTTTTATTTTTCCATGCTTTTCTTTTATTTCCCTCCATTTCTTTTATTTATCTTCCTCCACTTCTTGCTTTTTCCTCCACTTGTCTGTTATTTTTTCTATATATTTCTCCAGGTTTGCACCATGCCTTTCATTTCCACTCAACTGTTTATTTTATGTTTCGTTTCCTTATATTTTTTCCGTTTACCTCCATTACTTTTTACTTTATTCCATCTGTTTTTATATTTTCTACACTTTTCTTTTATTTTTCCTCCAAATCTTCCTTTTACTTTCTTTCACTTACTTTTATATTTTCAACACTTATCTTTTTATTTTCACCCACTTCTTCCATTTATTTTCCTCTACTTCTTGCTTTTACCTCCACTTGTCTCATTAATTTTTTCGCATCTTTCTTCTAGTTTGCTCCACTTTTTACATTTTCCTCCATCTGTTTATTTTACCATATCTTTCTTCTATTTCCCTCCATTTCTTTATACTTTCTCCCTTCTGTTTTTATCTTATTAACACCATTCTTCTATTTTCACATACTTCTTTTCTTTTTTTTTTTACTTTTCTCCATTTATTGTCATTTTTCCATACTTTTCTTCTATTTTCTTCCACTTGCTTTTCCCTCCACTTGCTTTTCCCTCCACTTATTTCTTTTATTTTTCCATATCTTTCTCCTAGTTTGCTCCACTTATTTCACTTTCCTATGTTTGTTTATTTTATTTTTCCATGTCTTTCTTTTATTTTCCTCCACTTGTTTTTACTTTCCTCCATCTGTTTTTATCTTTCCCATACCATTCTTCTGTTCTCCTCTATATATTCCTTTTATTTTTCTACATATGATTTTTTTCAAACCTTTCTTCTACTTTCCTCCACTTTGTCATTTTATTTTTACTCTATTTCGTCCTTTTTATTTTTCCTCCGCTTGTTTCACAATTATTTTTTCCACAACTTTCAACGATTTTCCTCCAGTTCTTCCATTATTTTTTTCCATCTTATTTGTTGCTCTTCCTTCTCCCCACACCGATAACTTCTATTTTCATTCACTTTTTTAATTCTATTTTTATCCTTTTATTTTTCTTCATACCTGCGATTTTCCTTTCTCTCCTGTTTTCTTTTACTTTTTCTTCTATTTTCCTCCACTTCTATTTTCCTCCACTTCATCCATTTATTATTCTTTCTTCTCTCCTATTTTTACTGATTACTCTTTCTCTCTCCCCACATCTCAATTTACTTATACTCTCTTTTTCCCCCATTTTCTTTTTCTGTTTTTTCTTTCATTCTACTTTATTTTCATTCTTTTTTTCTACGTTTCTCATCTTTACTTGTCCCCTTGTTTCTACCCCACCCAATTAGATTGCCCCAAATTAAAATTGCAAGTCAGTCAGGCTAGAAAGAAGAAACGGAGTAACTTTACTTCTTGTGTACATCCTTGCTTACCCACCAATGATTAGCGCTCTCAATCCTATTGTCTGTGTCACCTCTTTCGCCATACGATCCAGCTTCAGTTCCGTCCTTTGTCCTTATTCCTTAGGTTTTAATGTCCTCTATTGTTGTTTGCAAACTTGTAAAGCTTCTATAATGAGGGCCCAGTTATTATTGTATGTAAACATTTCACTCAAGTAGCATTCACTCCATTTTCCCTGCAAACCCCTGTCTGAACTTGGACATTGTTCTTTGTGATCTATTTCTTTCGTTGGTGAATCACGATGTAGCTGGACATATTTTGACCAATAAAACATAGCAAAATATATTAAGCTCAGTTTTCATGTTGCCTGTGATGCCAAATTTGAAACGTTGGCCTGACTTCTTGAAACCATTGATTACATTGGCCTCAAGTCCACTGGACACATCTTACAATAAATATGTCTCTCTAATAGCTTCGGGTCACAGAATGGTCAACATGGAGGGAAGTGGGGGATGAAACGGAAATGTGCAATTGCTTCTTGGATAATTCTACCAGCATTCTTTATCGCTTTCTTTCCGTCCTTCTCCGGTCTTTGAGCTGCTGGCCTCGCGACGCCTCTTTTCAAAACGTTGGGTACGTACTTGTAAAACAAGTATCTATCCGACTTTCGTTCTTTCAGAGTGAATGTTGCTTTTCCAGAAATTCTTCACATTCTTTGACGCATTACTCTTCCAAAATTTTTTTTTATTTCTTCTTTTCTCGTCAAATTCTTATCCGTTGGTTCTGGATTAAAGGTTGCCTCTCTTCTTACAAATGGATTTATTTAACAACACAGGGACTTTGCACTTTATGGCAGCTTTATAATTATAGCTTGTGGCTCCCAATTTCAAAGGGTTGGCGTCGTTTTTAGAGCTTTACTTGTGATTCCTTGATAAAAATCCCTTTTAAATATTAGAAATTTGGAAATGAATACACCAACATAATGAACGCGGACACAATTTACCTTGAAAGATGTCATAAAGGGATCAACATTAATTTTTCTAATTTTTGTTTTCTATTTAGGAATCAGTTATTTAGATTAATTCAATTTAAGCATAATTGAGATTATGTTAGGTTTAGGGCCATTGTTTGAAACTGAGAAGACGTCGTGTGTTGACAAACAAAAACTACAATTGTTGAAATGGTTGAGAAAATAAACAATAAAGAATGATATAAAATGGGTTGCTTGTACAGTGTTCTAAGTCGGGTCACCAACTGTTGTTAGGCTTAGTGTCGTCGTTTGAAGGTGTTGTGTGTTGACGAACAAAAACTATTAGTGTTGAAATGTTTGAGAAAATAGATAAACAAGAAAAGGGTATAAAATGGGTTGGTTTACTGTGTTCTAAATTGGGTCACCAACAGTTGTTATTAGGTTTAGAGTTCTTTGAAGTTAAGCTGCCATGCTTGGATAATAGTAAAAAATCAGTTGATTTTACTGTGTCCTAAGTCAGGTCACCTACTGTTGTTATTAGGTTTAGGGTCGGCGTTTATAGTTGGGAAGTTGAATGGAATAAAATGAAATACAATTCCACTAAGAACTTTTTTTTTTTTATTGTCGAGAATGTTCAAGGATAGTTCCCGAAAGAATGTGTAAACTCAAGGAATGTTCTTATGATAGTCTCTGATTAAGAAGAAATATATAGTTGAACTTATTCGTTGATGGGGTAAAGAGTGAGTGTGTCTCGTCTGAGCCATGTGCATCCGATCTTAGAGCGCTGAGTTTAGCATCCTACATCGACTGTGGTACGGTGTGAAGGAGGGGTCACGCTTTTGAGATTTTCACTAATCATGCTCCCAATTATTTTATCATTAGCCCAAAAGCTGCTAATGATAGGATTTTCAACGCATGCATGTCTGGCAGTCCTAACTGTAGCGTCTTCTATAAGATGTATTAAACTTGTCTGGCATAAAGTCAAATGTGGGTTGGAAGATTGTGTAGCAGCAGTCTCTTAGATGGAAAGGGTTTACCTACTTTGATATTTGCTATGTTTACTAAGTATGGCACAAGGCTAAAATAGGATATTGTGGTATTATATATGAATAGACATTGAACACAAATTTCACACCAGGCTTTCACAAAGAACGCCAGTTTACCTGGGTTCACTGCCAGCAACTTAATGCACGATGACGTGACCTCACACCTATATCTATGCTAACAGTGGCTTCTATCGCACTTCTCGCTCGTGGAACTCTCCTTTTCTATATATATATATATATATATATATGTCGGTGCCATCGATAAAACCATTATTAATCTGAAGTTCTTTCGAAGGTCGAAACGTGTAACATATGGTTTTCTCTCTCTCTCTCTCTCTATATATATATATATATATATATATGTGTGTGTGTGTGTGTGTGTGTGTGTGTGTGTGTCTGGTTATATATGTGTGTGTGTGTCTGGTTATATATGTGTATGTGTGTGTGTCTGGTTATATATGTGTGTGTGTTGTGGTTATTCCTAAAATATCGCCCGAGGATGAAACAGAGCTTGTTACTTTAATTCAATTTGATTTTAATAATTATATTGATGGTTTCGGCTCTCGTTTTTGAAACATGAGAACTCTTACGTAGCGAAGGAATCATATTTTTTTTTAAATAATTATATATATATATATATATACAGGTCTAAAAAGTAACGGGTCTTATTCGTTCTTCGATGTGAGAGTCATCATCCATAGTGAGTTCTTGCCACAGGGCCAGACGATTAATCAGCATGTCTACAAAGTCTGCGGCTTTTGCTTCGTTCGATGCACGAGAAGAAACGGAAGTTGTGGCAGGACAAATCATGGCTGCTTCACGTGAAAATGCACTTGCTCACAGCGCCCTCAGCATCCGGCAGTTTCTGGCCGAGAATAACATCACCGTAGTAGTGGTACTACTAGCCTGATCTTGCTCCGTGTGAATTTTTCTTTTGCCCAAGTTCAAGGAGGTCATCAAGGAGACCCGTTTTTGAAGGCATGGAGGCTATTAAGAGGGCCATAATGACATAGCTGAGGAGTATCTAAGAAGAAACCTTCCGGTAGCATACAGAAGCATCGCGGAAAAGGATGAAAAAGTGCGTTAAACGCGATGGGGGTTACATTAAAGGGGAAACAATGTAGTTTGTTGTTCGAATTGAAATAAATTGTTTGTGACACCAGTCACGTTACTTTTCAGACAGACCCCATAGATGGATAATGTATATTTAACCAAGGCTCTGGGGGCCGCTTTCCACCAACACTGGCTGAATATTGGAATGAATAAAAAGTTAAGCACTGAAGATTCAAGTCTCGTCTTATCATTTAATTAGCACGACCACGTTCATTATAATTGATAGATGGAGAATGTATATAGGGCCCGGGTTCTGGAAGTGCGCTTCCCATCAACACAGGTTGAGAGGGAGTAACTGACGGAATACTGGAATGAATATGAAGTTAAGTGATTTTGCGTTTTTTTTTGTTTTGTTTTTTTTTGTTTTTTTAGATATATGAAAACAATTTAAAAAAAAATTAAATACGACATTTTATTAAAAAAAATTGTTTTTACTTATTTTTTGGAATGAAACTAAAAGGCTTTTTACACATAAGCCATACAAAACCCATTATGTTACACGTTTCGACCTTCGAAAGAGCTTCTTCGGATTAATAATGATTTTATAGGTGGCGCCGATATATATATATATATATATATAGAGAGAGAGAGAAAGAGAGTTCCACGAGCGAGAAGTGCGATAGAAGCAACTATTGGTATAGATCTTATCTATCAACTTCAACTGTAAAATGATGAGACCCTATTGCCAATCTAGTACTGCGCTTAATTTCATAAAGTCTACGTACCAAAAAGGAAAGTTGTTTAAAAACAATTACCGCAGAAGGATTTATAGTAAAGGCACAGGAAAGCTACATTACCGTGATGGGAAAGAGACTGAAGCCGAGAGGCTAGGTTAGGAGTAGTAACATTGCAGATTCTTTTTTGGACTTTATGAAATATCTCTAAATGTATATCGGGAGCACCGGACCATATGTGGCTGCATGGCAGACTTATTCTGGAGAGAAAGATTGTATAGCACGACACAATGAACAACTTTTCTATCAGCAGACCTAGCAACTTATATGAAAGTTTTAGAAGTTAATATTTCGTAGCCCCCAGGCTGCCACACCAAAAGTGGAAAATGAAATTTAATGATTAATTTTCGAAAATTAATAGCAGTAATACTTCTAGACAAATGAGACAGCTCATCTCAATAGGTTTGTCATAGATTGTGGCAAGAAGACAAATTTAGTCTTCTGTTTAGTTCTCAGTTTCAGCAAAAACAAAACAAAAAAAAAAAAGAAAAGAAAAAACGAATGTCGCTGTGGATGTAGTGCGAAAAAAGGGACATTGTCTTTAACCAGGAAGAAGCGTCACCGAGCACTTGGGATGACGAAGAAGAATGAAATGGCGTTCTTTGAATTAAGGAATGGCTTAATAGATGCCATGAGAGCCATTTTGGGGCACTTATCAGCGCTTACCATTGTCATGCGAAAAAGTTCAAAATCTGATTAGAAACGTTTTTTATGTCTTTTGGCTAACCAATAATGGAACTGTCCCCACCCCCTCTGGAGTTCTGAGATAGGATACTCCTGGGCTGGGAAATTATTTGACATGTCATAGCAGTTACAAGAATATTTTATCATTTTTTGTATATATTTGTGGAGTGGGATGTATCTATTATTTTGTTAAACTGTGACCTGTTCGTCATACATTATTGTCAGTTTTTATCATATGCCCTGCACGTATTAAGGCGGGTGAGGTGTTCACTTTCCTTTCTTTCTGTCATGTGCAATATTTTTCAGATAGGCTAGTAAAATAACATTTTTTTAAAATATTGTCATAAACGATATATATATATATATATATATATATATAAGTAGACACTGAGTTCTCTGACTACTTACCCTTGCACTATCTGTACGTCCAATTCATTGTACAGTTATATATATATATATATATATATATATATATATATATATATATATATATAATAGACATTGAGTTCTCTGACTGCTGACCCTTGCACTATCTCTACGTCCAATTCATTGTACAGTAATATATATATATATATATATATATATATATGAGTGGATACTGAAGTCTACACAGAGCGGTATCAGTCTATCATATGCTTACACGCACTCTTTAGATTGCATTTAACAAGAAACAGACTATCGCCACTATGTGTTGAACTCAATATCGACTTTTATATTTAAATATGCGCTATCCCAGGGGTCAAAACATTATGAAAGTGTAGAAATACATTTTTATTGCGAAGGTCCAGTATTACGTAAGGTTGCCTCTCTGTGTTTTTAAAATAAATACTTTCATGGTAATTGTTCGTATGAGTTATTTGATACGTAACTAGGCTTTTTGAATTTAAGCGCAGTACTAGACTGGCATCGGGATCTTATCAATTTATAGTTTATATCTAGCTGGCTAGATGTAACTGTAAATTCTATGCTAACAGTTTCCTTTCTCGCACTCCCTGCTCGTGTAACTCCCCTCCGGCTCCATTCTTTCCAGCCAACTTTAATCTGTAAAAATTTAAATGCAATGTCAATCGCTATCTATGTATTCCTGATTACTCTTTTCTCTTCCCACTTATTATTAACGTTTCTTAATTCTTCCACACTCTGTAAGTCTTAGTAACGTTACTGCCTTGCATGGGGTGGTACCGATTAAAAAAAATACATTTTCATTGTAAAAATTACCAGCAATACAT